CAACAGGGCTGAATGTAAATGGGGCATTACACACCACGGTGCGTAAAACTGCGCATAGGTGGCGATAAGATTGCGCAGTGTTTGTTCAGGCGAATTACTTACATAAATCATTTTAAAATACCCCAAAACCGAAATAATCTGTAGACTTTCCTGGCACCACACCTGGACATATCGCAATTGGTCCAGTATACATCATTAGGATGTGCATCCTCCACACCTCCATACATTCTTTTTTGGTAAAGCTTTTGGTTTTTTAAACTCCGTTTTAGCTCCCTTTGCGTTAGTTTTTGGATTAGGCTTCTTTTTTCCATTAATTTTTTCTTCTAGCTGCTTCTCATAAAACCGTTCAACCTGTGGTCTGTTGAACCCCATAGCACGCGCAATGCTCATGAAAGTTGGCTGTTGAAGAGCAATTTCGGGGTGGCGCTTCATAAATCCACAAAAACACTCTTTCCCTGCAATTTTTGTATCGATCGATCGATATCTTTAAACGAGCAATTCTTGTATATATATATATATATATATATATATATATATAATTGGAATCTCGGAAACGGCTCCAACGATTTTCATAAAATTTTGTGTGCAGGGAGTTTCGGGGGCAATAAATCGATCTAGCTAGGATTTATTTTTAGAAAATGTTTTTTTGTCCGTGTTTTTAGGCAATGAAAAACTGCTACAATATCGTTACAATAAGAAGTTAAATTTTGACAGTTAATTAATGATTACAAATAGCTTAATTGGTATATTGGGCGGTCACAAAATCGTAATACCATGGTTCGGGCCCAGACCGACCGACCGACTTTTTTTTAATTTTTTTTTTCAAGTTCCTTTCTTTTTTTGAGAAAATCTATTTTTTCGAGCCCCTTTTAGTATTTTTTAAAAACACGAAAATTTAAATTAAACTAATTGCACTCATGAGTTTTTATTCAAAAAACACGAATTAAAAAAAAAGAGCGAAAAATACCGATCAAAGCTCGGTCAACCGGGTACTATGTATTGAAACAATGGGGTATTTTATAATTTTCTACATACTCGTAAGCTGCGTTATATAATTGTTTGGCTGTCAAGCCGATAAACATTTCATCCAAGGTTGTCAAGTGGTCACAGAAATCTTTTTCTACCCATGCACTAAATGTAGCGTCATATCTACCTAGCTTTGTTGCACATTGTGGTTGCTGCAACCGGTATCTTAGTGTTGAATCAGACATCACCAAAGACAAAACAACTAGTCTCTTGCTTTCTCCTTTTTCCGTGATAAACGAGCACCCAGTCTAACTGATGGTAAGTGGTTGCTGTGGCCTATAGACATCTACATCTATCCTCGATTACAAATCAAAATCCTGATGCGTTGTCACCCCTGAGGACTAAGATGGAATGCCTCGTTGCCAGTAAAAAGTGGTCTCCGATTCTCTACACTCACCATACGAAACAGCAGCATTAGGCATCTTTTCCATTACACGGTTGTTCAAACGTACGGTGTGTAAGCCGTACGGTTGAAAAAACGTGCTAGCTTGTACATGATACGGCAAAATCACCGCGCGAGACATTGGTAAGTACTGGCTAGTAGCGCTTTTTACTCGGGCTGTGTAGGACGTGCTGCGTCATGAATTTTCTTACGAAAAAAAAGATTATAGTTGCTTATTACATATATAGGAAAAAGAAAATAGAAAAAAAAGGGAAGTAAGGTTTTGGATACATCCGATTTTAGAAAAAAGGGAGGAATATGGCGCGTTTCATACACTTGTCAAGAATCAATTGAGAGAAGATGAAGACAAGTTTTACAATTATTTTAGAATGCAGAAAACTACATTCGACAACTTGCTCCAAAAATTATCCCAGGAACTAAAACATCAAGATACTTTTATGCGAGAGAGTATATCGCCCGCAGAAAGATTGGCTGTAACTCTGAGGTAAGTAGGTACAAAATTAAATGACATATTTTAGTTTAAAATTGTTTATTGCACACAAACAAAATTATTACATGTAATTGAATTTTAATAATTATTAATTTAAGAACAAGTAAATCAAAAAATACACTACGCTGAAAATGCTACTCAAGTGCGGTACTAAAATCGAATTCGTCTTCAATAGAAACTTGAGAATCTGCCGAGATACTTTCCGCATTTACACTATGTACAGATAATTGTGATTCGGGTCGGTAGTGGATTGGCTCTAAACCAGAACCGTGTCCAAAATCATGAGAAGACGTCTGTGGACGACTTATTCTATAGCTCGATCTAGCAGCTGTAGAATATCCATATGTTGACGATTGCGCATTTGAGGATGCTGTACCACTTAAATATCCTTGATGGCCTTGATCCCATTGGTTTCTTGATGTAGGTATATACTGAGTACACTGTCTTTGTTGAATATTTTTAATTATTGAAATTACTTGAAACTGAAAGTCTATCATATTTTCATCACTGAACTTGTCAACTGTATCAGCGATTCCCATAAAAAAAGTTCGTACTACGGCTTTTCTTTTTCTCATCTCGTTCTGCTGAATCCATAAACTTCATAAACCTAATGTCAACTTCACTTAGTTCATTTTTTCTTTTTTTTTTAGCCCTTTGCGTCTCACTCCGTTCAGTGTATCCCGAGCTTGATTGATTCGGGACTGCACTATCAAAATTTTCATTACTGAGGCTAGAATCATGAACATGTTCAGTCATGTTAGAATCGGTCTTGCGATGCTCAACATTTTTTTTTAGGAACATCATTTCATCATAGAACATATATTTTCTTATTTTTTTTGCTGAAGAACTAGACTTACATTCATTAATTTTTTTGTCATATTTTATCCAGCTATCTTTCATATTGGTCCACTTCTTCATCACCATTTGCCCTGAAAATAAATAAATAATAATTATTAAATTCAAAATTTATGAAAACCCCCGACCTAAACTGAATCGACCCCGACCTAAAATGGGGTTTTAGTATTTGAACCTGAACCGTTTTGTTTTATATTTCAGGTATCTAGCAACAGGAGATACCTTTACTGACCTATACTACAGCTATAGAATTGGAATAAAAACCATAAGTTGCATCGTACGTGAAGTATGCCACTACATTTGGTTAGAACTGTATAAAGAATATATGAAAATGCCATCTAAAGAAGACTGGCTACACATTGCAAGCAAATTTCAAGAATCTTCCAACTTCCCGCTGTGCTTAGGAGCGGTCGATGGAAAACACATCAGACTTATTAAGCCAATTGATAGTGGCTCGATGTTTTTAAATTACAAACATTTTTTTTCTATAGTTTTGATGGCAGTAGTAGATAGCGATTACAACTTTATATTTGTTGACGTTGGCGCCTACGGAAAGGAGTGTGATTCCAGTGTGTTTAAAGAGACCCCATTTTGGAAAAATTTAACAAACAACGGATTAAATCTACCCGATGCAACACGTTTGCCTGGAATTGACTACGATTTGCCATATGTGTTCGTTGCGGACGAAGCCTTTGCTTTGCATTATCACTTGCTTCGTCCATTTGGTGGTCATCAGCTTGATCAATTAAAACGTACATTTAACTACAGACTCACAAGAGCGCGAAGATTTGTTGAATGTGCGTTTGGCATTTTATCCAATAAATGGCGAATTTTTTTACCGGCCAATGAATGTGTCCATCGATTTGGCAGTTGATATTGTGAAAACATGTTGTGTTTTGCAAAATTTTATACATAAGCAGGAAAACTTTCAGTTTCACAATGCGAGTGAAAATGAGTCCACCCTTGATTCAGAATCGGAACTAATCCAGTTACCTATCACGAATGCAGTTCGCGGAAGTTTGGCGGCTAATGAAGTTCGCAACAGATTTGCACAATATTTTGTATCTAACGAAGGTCGCCTCTCCTATCAAAACAACTATGCATAAGTAAAAAGTTAATAATTAAATATCTGTAACTTACCAAACTTGTTTTTCTCATCACCACTTAAATCTTCAAATGTGGGCTGGAAATGAATAAATATTTCTTTCCAGGAATCATATTTAAGCCGCTTATTTTTATAATCGTCGATGGTCTTATCCCATATTACAGGCCTTTCTTGAATCAACGTAATTAATAATTCTTGATTTATGTTCATTTTATAATAAAATCGCGAAACAGCGTATATAAGCGGTCACGAATCCGTGCGTACGTCCGGCACCGTCGACACACCCCGATAGACTGCCATACAACACTGGTGAAAATCACGCCGTGCGTAGACGCGGCGCGCCGAGGGGCAGTCACGGCGCACGCGGCCGCGGCGCCGTGCCTTGGCGCCACCGTGCATGTCGACAAGCTCATATAGTGATCCATACCACACTGACGACCGTGCCTACACGCGGCGAATTAACCGTAGATTTTCACGGCGAGAAACCGTGTAATGGAAAAGAGGCCTTAGGCATCTTTTCCATTACACGGTTGTTCAAACGTACGGTGTGTAAGCCGTACGGTTGAAAAAACGTGCTAGCTTGTACATGATACGGCAAAATCACCGCGCGAGACATTGGTAAGTACTGGCTAGTAGCGCTTTTTACTCGGGCTGTGTAGGACGTGCTGCGTCATGAATTTTCTTACGAAAAAAAAGATTATAGTTGCTTATTACATATATAGGAAAAAGAAAATAGAAAAAAAAAGGGAAGTAAGGTTTTGGATACATCCGATTTTAGAAAAAAAGGGAGGAATATGGCGCGTTTCATACACTTGTCAAGAATCAATTGAGAGAAGATGAAGACAAGTTTTACAATTATTTTAGAATGCAGAAAACTACATTCGACAACTTGCTCCAAAAATTATCCCAGGAACTAAAACATCAAGATACTTTTATGCGAGAGAGTATATCGCCCGCAGAAAGATTGGCTGTAACTCTGAGGTAAGTAGGTACAAAATTAAATGACATATTTTAGTTTAAAATTGTTTATTGCACACAAACAAAATTATTACATGTAATTGAATTTTAATAATTATTAATTTAAGAACAAGTAAATCAAAAAATACACTACGCTGAAAATGCTACTCAAGTGCGGTACTAAAATCGAATTCGTCTTCAATAGAAACTTGAGAATCTGCCGAGATACTTTCCGCATTTACACTATGTACAGATAATTGTGATTCGGGTCGGTAGTGGATTGGCTCTAAACCAGAACCGTGTCCAAAATCATGAGAAGACGTCTGTGGACGACTTATTCCATAGCTCGATCTAGCAGCTGTAGAATATCCATATGTTGACGATTGCGCATTTGAGGATGCTGTACCACTTAAATATCCTTGATGGCCTTGATCCCATTGGTTTCTTGATGTAGGTATATACTGAGTACACTGTCTTTGTTGAATATTTTTAATTATTGAAATTACTTGAAACTGAAAGTCTATCATATTTTCATCACTGAACTTGTCAACTGTATCAGCGATTCCCATAAAAAAGTTCATACTACGGCTTTTCTTTTTCTCATCTCGTTCTGCTGAATCCATAAACTTCATAAACCTAATGTCAACTTCACTTAGTTCATTTTTTTCTTTTTTTTTAGCCCTTTGCGTCTCACTCCGTTCAGTGTATCCCGAGCTTGATTGATTCGGGACTGCACTATCAAAATTTTCATTACTGAGGCTAGAATCATGAACATGTTCAGTCATGTTAGAATCGGTCTTGCGATGCTCAACATTTTTTTTTAGGAACATCATTTCATCATAGAACATATATTTTCTTATTTTTTTTGCTGAAGAACCAGACTTACATTCATTAATTTTTTTGTCATATTTTATCCAGCTATCTTTCATATTGGTCCACTTCTTCATCACCATTTGCCCTGAAAATAAATAAATAATAATTATTAAATTCAAAATTTATGAAAACCCCCGACCTAAACTGAATCGACCCCGACCTAAAATGGGGTTTTAGTATTTGAACCTGAACCGTTTTGTTTTATATTTCAGGTATCTAGCAACAGGAGATACCTTTACTGACCTATACTACAGCTATAGAATTGGAATAAAAACCATAAGTTGCATCGTACGTGAAGTATGCCACTACATTTGGTTAGAACTGTATAAAGAATATATGAAAATGCCATCTAAAGAAGACTGGCTACACATTGCAAGCAAATTTCAAGAATCTTCCAACTTCCCGCTGTGCTTAGGAGCGGTCGATGGAAAACACATCAGACTTATTAAGCCAATTGATAGTGGCTCGATGTTTTTAAATTACAAACATTTTTTTTCTATAGTTTTGATGGCAGTAGTAGATAGCGATTACAACTTTATATTTGTTGACGTTGGCGCCTACGGAAAGGAGTGTGATTCCAGTGTGTTTAAAGAGCCCCCATTTTGGAAAAATTTAACAAACAACGGATTAAATCTACCCGATGCAACACGTTTGCCTGGAATTGACTACGATTTGCCATATGTGTTCGTTGCGGACGAAGCCTTTGCTTTGCATTATCACTTGCTTCGTCCATTTGGTGGTCATCAGCTTGATCAATTAAAACGTACATTTAACTACAGACTCACAAGAGCGCGAAGATTTGTTGAATGTGCGTTTGGCATTTTATCCAATAAATGGCGAATTTTTCACCGGCCAATGAATGTGTCCATCGATTTGGCAGTTGATATTGTGAAAACATGTTGTGTTTTGCAAAATTTTATACATAAGCAGGAAAACTTTCAGTTTCACAATGCGAGTGAAAATGAGTCCACCCTTGATTCAGAATCGGAACTAATCCAGTTACCTATCACGAATGCAGTTCGCGGAAGTTTGGCGGCTAATGAAGTTCGCAACAGATTTGCACAATATTTTGTATCTAACGAAGGTCGCCTCTCCTATCAAAACAACTATGCATAAGTAAAAAGTTAATAATTAAATATCTGTAACTTACCAAACTTGTTTTTCTCATCACCACTTAAATCTTCAAATGTGGGCTGGAAATGAATAAATATTTCTTTCCAGGAATCATATTTAAGCCGCTTATTTTTATAATCGTCGATGGTCTTATCCCATATTACAGGCCTTTCTTGAATCAACGTAATTAATAATTCTTGATTTATGTTCATTTTATAATAAAATCGCGAAACAGCGTATATAAGCGGTCACGAATCCGTGCGTACGTCCGGCACCGTCGACACACCCCGATAGACTGCCATACAACACTGGTGAAAATCACGCCGTGCGTAGACGCGGCGCGCCGAGGGGCAGTCACGGCGCACGCGGCCGCGGCGCCGTGCCTTGGCGCCACCGTGCATGTCGACAAGCTCATATAGTGATCCATACCACACTGACGACCGTGCCTACACGCGGCGAATTAACCGTAGATTTTCACGGCGAGAAACCGTGTAATGGAAAAAGAGGCCTCAAGCTACTATTTTACGCTGGTATTCTGTTAGAGTGTGGTCCTCCCTCGGTCGAGCTACAACTATACTGCTAATATAACTGCAGGATGGCTCTACCACGTATAAGATGGTAGAAGGCGTGCAAATTTTACGGTCACTTTTGCGTGGTCTTCATGAAATTCTACAACAACGTGAAACGCTGTTAAAAGCTGATGAAACAAAAACAATATTTATTCATATAAATGAATACTGCTTTACGTAGTGATATGTATGTCTGCGCGCGCAATGTTATCCACCCCCTAAGTGCACAAACTTACACACTTGGCATCTAACGCAACAATATTGAGACTACTGCCATCATTTAGAAAATTATTGAACTACTTTGTCGAAATTTCAACAGTAAACACAAACGATCATTAGTACATTGCAATTTCTACAGGTACTCATCAGTTATGCTTGTAAAATGTCAAAAAATTAGATCAAAGGGCTACAAAACTTTGAACCCACCTGGACTTCCCGTTTTCTTTCGTATCTCAATATTTTTCGGGAGCGCATGCTGGCATCCAAAGCAATCAAAACAAAACTGAAGTTGGCAGCGTATTATGCACTGATGTCGAGTAACGACAAGTGCGCAATTTTATCGCCCGCGCAATCTTACATTACCCTATCCTACGAAAAAGTGTAACATTTTCATTTATTTATATGACACCAAAACACGAAAAATATAAAATAACTAATGCATATTTACTTTTTGCCATACAAAGAGAAGCAAAATATTTTGTTATTGAGTATATTACATACTAGATATAGTGTTTTGATACACAGTGGAGATGTCAAGAAAAAACCCGAAAATGTTATGTGTTACAATTCAACTAAATATGTACAACATAGCACTAAAATATCACAAAACCACCCTTTAGAAAATGGCCGGTACAAGTAGATATTTTATAATATTTTGGATTTATCTGCAATAAATGCCTGGGTGTTGTACAAAGAAATAAACAACAAGAAAATACGTAGAAGAGAATTTATTCTGCCATTAGCTGTTGAATTGAGTAACATTTTAGAAGAACCCACTCGTGAAATCTCGCTGCAACTTTCTATCGCCTCAGAAATGCAAGCGGCTGAGTTGAGAAAGAGGCGTAATGCTATCAAAATCTATGTAAAAATAAAACTAATAGTGTGACTTTTACAAAAACCACTATGCGGCAGATGCAATCTATCAAAAATATTCATATGTCATAACTGTAATTAATTTTAATTAAACACATATTTGCGTTTGTAACAATGAACATTGTCTACTATTTCTACAATTACACTACACATATATGCATAATTGGAGACTAGGTAAGTGATAGTTCAGATGACCTGTGACCACCTTTGTAGGTTAGCAGTTTCTTCCGTGTTGCTATGTTAAAGATAAAGCTTCGTATCGAAAATACTTAAGGCATGAAGAATAAGAGTGACTTAACTCGAGAGTCTCCATAAGGTGAGTATCTAAGTTCATAGGTCAGCCAGTGTTTACCTCCTGTATCTATCATGTAACACTAAACGGTAATAATAAGTTTTGTTGGTTGACCCATGCCTCATTGCTGAGTCGTTTTATGTAATATTGTGACGGTTCCGTGCGCAGTGAGGGCTGTGCGCGGCTGAGGGTTCGAATCCCGTACAGAACAAGTATTTGTATAACATATAAATAATTTTTCCGGGTCTGAACGTTTGTATTTGTGAAATTTATGTATGTAAATTGTTCTCATGGTACGGGAAAAGACCCTTTTTATAGAAGATGGGCAAACGAGCATGCGGCTCACCTGGTGCTAAGTGAGTAGAAAGAAAGAACAATTTATTGCAAACATACCACACACATAAAGTAGGCACTTAAATTTAAAAATTTGCACACATGTCAATACAAGGAAAAACATAATAGTATAAAAAAGCAACAACTTGACAAATAAATTCAAAAATGTATGTATAAGGTGCATCAGGGTAAGATTGGACGGTTTTTGGTCACCAAAATGGTCTTGGAATTTTTTTTCTCGCCTCTATTTACTCTCTAATAATTCAATAGTATCCAATAAGTATGCAGATAGGCAAGGGTTTCGTTTTTTATTTGTGATGTTTTCATAATCACAAGCATCCCTTCATTCCCCTCCCTCCGGACCGCGAAAGCGAACAGACGTGTCTCCGTGATTGTGTTGTTTAAATATTTTTTCAAAAAGATACTAAAAATTCGTGCGTGTACCAGGGCAACATACTCGCAACGTAGTACCATCCTGCTTCATTGAAGAGGTAAGCCACGCCCTTTGTATATTGCCAGCATGCAGACATTTGCTGCGTAATTTTTGGCTCCACTCACCGCCTTTGCTCAAGAAGCGCCTGCTATTATAAAATAGCTAATCTGCAGAAAATGATTGCTTTGCTCAACATATTTAAAAATCACCATGCTTCGTTCACCGAATAAAGCAGGATCAGACTCCGATATCTCCAAACTACCGAAAACCCCTTCTTCGCTTGCGGTTTCAAGACAAAAAAGACGTCACGATGAACTCTCAAGTGATGGCTTTCTTTCGTTCAAGGAAGAAGTTATGCAAATGCTGAAGTCATGGAAAGCTGATCATGACAACAGACTATATAACATGGAAAATAGTCTTACAAATATAAAGAAGATAAATACAGACATAGAAAAGTCACTTGAATTTATATCTCTGAAATATGAGGATATGCAAAACAAAATAATAACGCTTGAAAAACAATGTAAAGATAATCATAAATACATTATGTCTCTGGAAGAAAAAGTTGAGGAACTCTATCGAAATAGCAGAAGAAATGGCATAGAGATACGTAATATTCCTGAAAAAGAAAACAGAGACGATTTAACGCAATTAGTGATGTACCTCTCGAAAACATTGTGGACTAGTAATTTGCATACGGTTTTGGATACAATCCCACTATCACACCGCCTTTCGGCTGTAAAAGAATTCGAAGATTCTGATGCTCACAAGGTGCTCGGTTTGTGTTGGTCACCGGAGTCCAGCGTATGGTAAACCCGCCCGCAGAAACGTGCACAAAGGGCACAATGCTGTCATGCGTTGCTAGATTAAGGGATGTCATGGGTTTCGTCATCAGACATGACAAATTTAGATTTATCGCTTAATATGCCTTGTAAATTTAAATCACTGTGTGAGTTCATTTCACAGCTTTCATAAGTCGTGTTTAAAGACCTTAACAAGTTTTTGACTTGTCTTTTTAAAGGTTTTTTTTTTGGGAATACTTTTCTTCAAACAACCTCCAGTCTTAATGTTGATTTGTTGTGTTGGAGAGTTCTCTTATGGTATAATTTGTTTGTTGTATAGATCTAAGATTTCTGTAGATGCGTTATTTGTTAAACATTCGTAATGTTTTAAGTTACGAGTTTTTTCATTTACTCCTTTTTTCAATCCAGATGTTGACTTCATATAACTATTTGTGCTATTGGGCATATACGCAACTTCGTTTCCAATTTTTGATGGTCCAGGTTCTTGGTAATCATCAATTTATGGTTCTTTTGTTATTGTGATGATTTTCTAGGTTTTTATCCAAATATGTGCGTGTCATAATTTCATCTCTTTTTTCCATATGTTTCATTTTGACACTTACGATTTGTGGTTTTTGCGTAACTTTTTTCAAAAGCAGTTCCTTAAAAGAAAAATATAATTCTGACTTGAATAATGTCCTAAACCTTACAATCAGTCATAATTTGTTTAAGACGTCTATACATGACTGACTCAGCAATTTGGGTTTTGCTAAATTTCTTTGACAACTTTTACATATTATGTTATTTTGCAATCTTTTAATATCATGTTATTTTGCCATCTTTTATAAACCGCTGGGTGAAATTTTTTGTGGTATAACACTTGGGTAAAACGGGTAGACACCTCCTTTTTTAAAGCTATTTTTGATCACTTTTGGCGTTGCCATTTCACAAGCGTTTTGTCCCAAATACTTTTAAATGACTTGAAAACTGACCGCTAAGTCTATAGGTTATAATAAGTTAGTAGGAAGTTTTAAAATGGTTATGTCGTTTTCTGCTGCTAATGCTATTACTCGTTTGTCAACGTGTATGCTATAACCATCGTAAATGAAGAGCACTGGTCTTTCTTCTCTCAAACTTGGAATTATAACTTTAACCATATAATTATATAATATTTCTGTCTCTATCTAACAGCGTTTGCTAGAAGCACAAGCAACATCAAAATCATATTCTTACTTTTGATATGCTATCCATTGGTCATATACATAGCTCCCTTTAAATGCAATTAAAGAATTCAATTTGATGACAGCCGCGTTGAAAGTCGCTAAAACGGTAATATTTTCTTTTGCTGATCCAGCCGTTGTTCTTGTGCATGTTGCGCCATCTGCGCCAACAACCAGTTGCTGCTTTGCGGGTCGTTTAGGTTTAACTTCCGAAGGGTACTTCCTAGTAAAGTGAAATACTCGTGTATTATAAAAGAATCCGTCATACGTTTTTGCAGGTACTCTACTGGTTGAGGTTTTTTAATGGATAGCTTGTGCCACTTTTCAAATTAAAGAAACCAATTGTTACCTGGTATATCATTTATGAATGAAGTTTTTATTTTATTTCTCTTTATGAACTCTGCCACTATGTCAATCACTACAGATTTGGAAATTCCCCGACCCCATTTTTCCATTGTACATAGACCTAATTCTAGTTTGGTTTCCATATC